CAGGAATTATTTTATTTTTTCATTCGTTGAACTATACGACAAGACAAAGGGGGTTTGTGGAATTTGTTGACTCAAGTCAAGATTTTTTGTTCAGTCAATTTTCACATAAAAAATTGAGCAAAATTTCTCAACCCAGCCCTAGTTTTCTAAAATGCAAACTCACCAACCTCTGGAAGACAATTCAAAGAGAGATCTTCCCGCCGAATGTCAGGCTTTAAATCGTACTACTGGTTGTCTATTGCTGAGGCCAGGTGTGAAAAGAACTTTTCTTAGTGCACTTTTTGTCCCCAGATTGTCCAGCCTGGACGTCATGCTGCTCTGCTTCTTAGCCCACTCCAGTTTCTTCTCCTGCAGCATTTGCTTGACCTCATCTGTGGCCCTGCGAAGGGGATATCTTCTCCTGCTTCTGCAGATGATTGATCTTCTGCTGCTCCTCACTGTGCTTCAGAGCTTAAGTCAAGTTTCTCCTGCTGTTTCCGAGCCTCATTTCTCTTATCCAGGAGAGTCTTCTTGATCAGATCTTTACTGACCCACCTTCTCAAGCATATCCTGAACCTTAGCTTTGATTTTCAGGAGGTTTTTTTGCCAACTGATTAGGTTTCTCTTGAGCCTTCTAAGCCTGGGTTTTCTCTTTTAGAGAGCTTTCTCCAAAGATCCTTTAGTGCCTTCTTAATCTTAATCTCAGTTGATGACTATGGGACAAGAAGAAATTTTCCACTTACAAATTTGTGAATTCCACCAAAGTGTATCAACGTGATCCAATTCGAAGCTACTAAAATTTTTCAGAACAAGATGTCTGAGTTCTATTGTATTAACTTTGAGAAGACGCAGAAATTTGTCTGACACTGAATTGATTCAGTTATTCAACAGGAAGTTGATGTCTGTCACTTACAATGTTGCTATAATAGCTCAGTTGTGCCATATGATATTTTCTTCACTATCTTTGTCGATAAAGAACAGTTACCCAGACCAAGAGATAGGAAAGCCAGGGCTGAAATCTGTGACTCACATCTATAATCTCCTGCTGTTCTATTACCACTCAATAGGGGACAGGACAAAAGTCCTTTGTAATTTCTGGCCACAGGGATTATTAGTATTTCTTGTCATGTACTACCTGAGAGAGAGAGAGACAGAGAGGGAGAGAGAGCAGATGTGTTTTTTTTTTAGTGAAACCATAATATAGCTTTGTTCCATCTCTTCTTTCATAAAATTCAGGCAAGTATCAGGCTTGTGATTGATCTTTTAATGTATGTTTCTTAAAGCTGCTATAATCAACATGTTTATATCTGCCCTGGATCACATGACGTATGTAATAGGAGTAGTTTGTAATGAAGAACCCACGGCATATTTTCATGCAGTTCCCCTCAGACTCATGCCCAACCTTTCAGCATCTTTTAGCTCATTGTCTTGGTTTCATGGCCTAAAACGTTACTGTTTTGTTTCACTCTCACAGCTCACATTTGTGTCATTTATAGCCACAGCAGGCGGCTATTTCCAGCAAAAAGCACTAATGAATCCACTGTAGGCAGACACAGTTAACTAGTGTACAGTCATGGTGGAGCATTTAGCAACTAAAGGACTACAAATTTCCCTCAGGAATTGGTGGAGAGCAAAACAGAGCTAAAGCGGGAGTGAGTATTGGACTTACATTTATTAGTTGGACAGAAACACGACTTCAAATAAATGATAATGTTGCTCCATATCTGCTGGGTATGTAAATGAGCAATTGTTTGCTAACAAGTTGGTCTTCTGAACTTGTGTTTTCATGTGTTCAACTTGTAATTGGGGAACACACGTACATTTGAGAGCAGTTGAATGCAGTGTCCTGTTAGGAACTATTGGTTCTCAGTTCTCAAGGTTCTCATATATCACTGATAGATTTGGCTCTTAAAAAAAGTCTATTATTTTGAAGCACCTATATGTAGGATTTTAAAATCCTGACTTTTTTGACTTCCTGTGGTGTTTTCAGAAAGACACTGGGCCTGAAAGCAACGCACACCAAACAACTAGTTATTCCAGGAGAGTGGTTTTAAAGGTGGTATAATCACAGAGAAATGTTTGGGAGAAGTTATAGTCAAATAAATGGTCTTTAAGAGAAGATAGAAGTAGAGTACTATAAAACTGAGATTTGGCCCACATAAGGATTGTGTTTGTGTGATACTCTAAAATGCATGTATTTCAGTCTTTTGTGTTGTAGTTTGTTTGCTTGGTTCATGTTAATCTTTACATCACATCATGGCAAAATTGCCTTTAGTAAGTTTAAAGATATCATAACATACACACAAAGAACTAGGTTGGTTTGGGTTGAAGACAGGAAGACAGCAGTTATTACCAGAACTCCAGTTCACTGACTTTATTAGGAATTCAGGGCTTGTGCTGGTGAAAAAAAAAGTTGACATATTTGCCATATGTGATGAAACGGTCACACTCAAGCACAAGCTCTGCTCTCTGCTGCTTGATGGGAGAGTGTTTTATGGCCATGTTGCCTATGGATACCCTGTGCAGTCTGATGCTAGATATTGTAGTAAACTGTACATTAAACTGTGGCATCAGTGCAAGGCTAGAACACAGAAACACAAAGAACATCATAGAAATTTGTAGATAAGGGTACAGAGGAAAGCATGGATGCTCTAGACTTTGTCTGATTGTCAATAACTAGTTAAGAGGAATGCCCTTGCTGTGTAGTTCTGCCTTTTTTTCATGTTGAGTAACATATAGGAAAACAATGTTTGAAGCTTTCTCGAGAACTGCGCATCCAAAAAAACTTTAAGTTGATCGGATGAGTGGTTGTCAAGAGAATCGAAATGCACACAGGCAGAGAGGCAGAGAGTCCCCCGTTTATAGTTAGATAGGAAAATAAATGAAAGTTTTGATTTTGCTTATAGCTCCAACTCTGTTAATGACTTTCTGAAATTAACTGTCTTCGTAGACGGAGTTCATTTGTGATGTGTGTCTTGATTTTGCCTCCTTGCTGTAATCTCAAGTGGAAGCAGACACAAGAGGTGTGCGGTGAATACTGCATACAGGATTTTGGCTCACTATTCCCTCTGGTCCACCCCCCTGGAACTCATTTGTTCTAATCATAGGCTTGACTTTCATGCCTATTAATACTGTGGCAGTGCAGCTCTGCCCTTAAGTGAATCCTGCCTTTGTCATTCCTTTCAGCATATTCTTGAAATGGTGACAAAGTGGCAAAGGAGGCATGTGGCAGCATTGGTTGGACTTTAAAGGTTTACATTTGGCAAGCACTGTCTGTATCCACTGCGCTCAACACAGGGAGCAGCTGCTGAGAAATCGCGCTGTTACTTCAGCCCATCATCACTAGCCCCAGGGCATTCACAGGCCAGTCTGAGCTTGGCTTCAGGGCTATTGGGGAGAGAGTGCACTTAACTCAGCTGGCTGAAAGAGGCTTTCTGTACCAGAGGGAATCTGATATGGACACCAGCTGGCTGCAGGAACTTAAGTGAGATAAATTGCAAAGTAGTTAGTCTATCCTTCCCAGTTGAAGGTAACGGACTGAGGTTTATCTCTCAGGATGTGCCTGCAGTTGCACATTCTTGAGGGAATGAGGCAGGTTTGCATCCTCAGGTGGGACCTAAAAGAGATAATGTTAGCATGGAAACATTAAGATACAGCACTGTGCGCTGCTCCACTGCATTTGCTGCGATATTTTCGAAAAGTTGCACATGTGCAAACAAAGGAGCCTTTTCAAACACATAAAAACAGTACACAAATATTTCAACTGTTTCTTGTCTTTCTTCTGGTGGTGTTCACTTATTAAATCAGACTTTTAGTGGAACAACAGGTAAGGTACTTAATGTATTGAAAACATAAGAAACATTATCATTAAAGTGCTTATTCATGTTTGTATGGAAGCTCAGTTCATAGAGTCCAGGGCCTGTTTCCATTCATCATCATTCAAGGAAAGAATTTTGATTAATCATCCTACTTCCTGTGGCTGCCTTAAAGGAAAGCTCCACTGTTCAAGTTTGTAAACTATTTAAAAATTGGGCACCCTGATAAATTTAAGACCATTCATTACACAGAACTTAGTGGAAATAATTAATTACTCAGTGAAATAGATTTTTGTTTGTGTCGGAATGGCATTGTAGTGTGACCAATGATTTTGAAAATTGGTTCCACTGCTGTATTCGGAGTAGTAAGTGATAACACTGACACTGTACAATAGAGAGGCTGCTTTTTTCCCCGGTAATGGTGGCATTACCGGTAATTACTGATTCATATCTTCTTCCCCAGTAATTTTAATTTGATAACTAGTTGTTTAGTGATATGTTGTGTGTGTGTGTGTGTGTGTGTGTGTGTGTGTGTGTGTGCGCGTGCGCGTGTCAACATCTTGTGTTGCCATTGTGCTTACCAGAACAAAAACAATATCACTGTAATTTCCACTGTGTTATCCTTCCTGTGGAGTGTTGTAGCTGATATATGGTAATGAGATAAATTATAATTTACCATCTGTAAATTATAATATTATAAGAATACTTCACATTAATGATAAATCCATAATTAAATAATTAAGATAAATAAGAAACAGTGAACATCAGGTTTTGTGTCAATAACTCAGAATCAAATTCTTAAATCTTGGACTCACTATATTTACTTATATACAGACAGAAAGCTGGTGAAACATTATTTCATTTGGTATTGTTGTTTCGCTAACACCCAGACCTGAATGCAAATGGACCTCTTGGAAGAGATGTCATTCAAATCAAAGCATTCTGGGAAATGGAGGACAGTGCCAACTAAAGTAGAAGAGAAGACAGCATGATGCAATGGAAATTCACACACACACACACACACACACACACACACACACACACACGAAAATCAATCACTTCACTGCAAAGTAATTGAAATCTATTCAACATCACTGAGAGATGATATATAACATTGAATGTATCCAGCGGATTGCATATCCAATGGCGGATTTTCCACCGAATTCATGCACTTTTGTGTGTGTGTGTGTTCCCTGTGGTTTGAAGGTATGAGCTGCTACAGAAGCAGCTTGTACAGCTGGAAGAGGCAGAGGGAGGCTTTGACCAGTTCACACGCAGCTACAGGACCTTTGGCGTGCAGCGACTGCCTGACAACAGCCTGGTCTTTAAAGAGTGGGCTCCGGCTGCAGAGGCCCTCTTCCTGACTGGTGACTTCAGTAAGTAGCCTGAGGAGTACTGTCAGCTCCTGAACAACATGACACCAGCGTGATATCCAGGTTGTTTCCTCAAAGCTTCCAGTGAATTTTATCGCTGCTCATTCATTTCTCCACACTTAAAGGTGCTGCAGTTCCTACAACACTGAAATTAAAGCTGAAAGTTGCAGCTTTAACCGACTAATTTTTTTTCACAATTAATTTATTTGTACAAAGTAGGAAGTGTTTTTGTGTTGGGAAATCTTCATTTCTTCGTGGCACAGCAGGCCGTCCTCATTATGTTTTGAAGAAGCATGTGGCAGGCTGATAGATCAAGGTATTCTTCATTCCAGTTCTACAAAAGCAATCAATTTGCAATAATAAATCAGATTATTAAAAAGGAAATTATACTTAAATATTAAGTTACAGACACTGTTGGGACCGAGAGGAAAAAGATTTCAGTGCAAACACAAAGGTTGCGTATCTTCACGGTGTGTTAAATAAGAAATTTGACACTTCTCTCCTGAACACAAAAGGGCCAACAATTAAGAAAAAGCACAGCAGACTGTGGTACAAGGGTATCGGCCCTTTTGATCAATCAACCTGGGAGTAGGAAATGTGGAAAATATTGATTACACAGGATAAACTTGCATACTGAAGGGGGTTCTTTTGAATGTGGGAGTGTTTGTTAATATTTTAGTAGCTGGTTATTTCATCATCGCCTGCAAAGTTGTTGAGAGAGTGCAACCTCTGTGTTTGCACTGAAATCTCTATCCCCTCCAGTCCCAACTTTGAAAGTAATTTCAGGTTAATAGTCTTCTGAGTGTTATTTTCGGTTAATGTGGGCTGTGGAAATGCAGCAAAATAATTTATTTTTATCATCATTAACAAGATTAAATGAGACTTGCTTTCATCTATCAAATAGATATACAAGGTAATACAAGCAATAAGTGTCATTTTTTTTCTTTCCTTTATCAAATTTATTAATGCATTGAGATCTGTTACACATGCCAGTAGCGATATATTACTCTCACCGGACAAATACAAAATACAAAAAATGTAGTAATATAAAAAAAAAAATAACAAGGTGAAAGATTTCCGCCCAGTGCACATAACTCAGATACCGTGTGCCATCCCCCACCTCAGCACAAATACTTACCTCTGTGCCACAGCCAGTCTGAGCTGACACCCTGCAGGTAATGATAAAGGAGAGCAAATGCTAATAGTAATATCCTCAGACCGATGCAGTGTGCAAAACCAGAGATTTGTCAATTTGTTTATTGTCCCTACACATTTTTTTTTGTGCTAGTTAGTTGTGTTGCTGCCATTCCCACTTTCCGCATTATTCCTGTTCCTTTTTTAATTATCTTCTCAGGACCTTGGGCAGCAGCTCAATTCCAACTTTCAATTCTGTGAGAGATTATATTTTGACACGGCTCAGTCATATTATTTGATTTCAATTTCATAGTAAATGTGGAAACAGCCCAGCAGCCCTAGTCATGAATATGGTGCAGGTTGGATGCATAATGCACTGTATTTTTTCAGAGGAGTTTAAGCATAGGAAGATAAATAAATTGTGAAAAAATATGACTCGGGCCTGCCTGTGAAAAGTGCTGGTGCTGTGCCCGGTCACTTCTGGAACATCTCCTGTGATTCATTTCCTATCCTGCCCTTGTTTTCGCTCATGAATAGCAAGCAGATATGGATTACTGAATATAAACAACGTCCTAAATTGACATGCCAAAGTGGTCACTTTCTGATAAATGTTTTTTGTGTCCTGATATATTCCTGTCAGTCAATGGCAGCCAGTAATGTGGTATCAGCAGGTTATGAATGTAACGCCTCTCTGTTGTTCACTCAAAGATGTAATTCAATGAGCAGTCAAGTGATATTTTATCAGTTTTTCTTTTAGCCTGCTGCTTTACTCGCTGTTGCAAAACTCAGGAAACTGGAGAGCGTTGCACCCACAAGGAAGAATTACGTAAAAGAGAAAGAGTGAGAGAGAGAGAGCGTGCCAAACTGTGTGAAGAGTGAGTGTAGAAGTCAGAAAAATAAAGAGGCCCTGTGACCACATGGGGTTGCTGAAATAGAGCAAAAGCCACAGTAGCGGGTATCAGCTACAAGCTGCTTGTTAGCACGAGGTAAAGTGGCAACACACTGCTGTAATAATCAGGAATGCAATTGTTAAAGTTTTATTTGCAATTAAAAAAAAATAATAATTAAAGCCCCCGTGGTTGGATTTCAATATTCCTGTCTTTGGTGACTCCTAGTTGTAAAATCAAGAAAGACTTTAAGCTATAATCACATAAAATACACACATGCAGAGGTTTTAAATAAATAATACATACGTCTCAGTTGTGTAATATGAGCCTTGTTTTGATCATCATAGCGCATTAAAACTGTGCCAGGCTAATTTCCACATTGGCAGTACAAAATGGAGACAACACATTTTACAGGGATTTTCAACCTTGGGGTCAAGAACTCACTTGTAGATCCGAGGAGTCCCAAAGTGACAAATAAGGTAGAAAAAAAACTTTATTTAAAACGTAGGTATTTTTTCAGACTTTTCTCTACTCACCCGCTCTGTGGTCACGTCCTGCCACAGGATACCAAAGGGAGAAGAGAGATTCATGTACTGACTTGGGTGCTGTCATTTATGATCATGTGGCTCTCTTTGATCAGGGCTGAGCTAATCAGAACTAATGTTTGGACCTGTGTTGTAAACCTCTTAATTTAATGTGTTTAAATCCCCTCTGTGTTCACCCATAGATGACTGGAACAAATTTGCCAACCCCTACACCAAGAAAGAATTTGGCAAGTGGGAACTGATTCTGCCGGCTAAGTATGACAAGTCTCCAGCTGTGAATCATAAGACCAAACTCAAGGTAGAGAACAAAACATCTTCATGCCTATCTTCACTCCCTCAGTAGGTGTCATCGTGCTTCGGCGGCCTGGGAACTTGTCACTGTAATGTGCGAGGGAGATTCCCTGTCATGTGTGGTTGTCTTATGAACCCGATGAAAACCTGGCGTGTCGCCGTCAACAACATGTCATACTCACAGCGCGCAGAAGGGAGATTACTGTATGTACACAATCTGCACAGTGGAGGGTAGATACACCTGAGGAGTCCCACTGATGGCTTTTATTTCAACTCCCATCTGCGACACGTGTCCCTCAGGACACTGGGCCATGTTTGCTCGGTGCAGAACACAGGCCACAGTAGGTGTAGATGATTGGTTTTTAGCTCTTGTAAATAATTCATCAGGGTTAAATGCAAAAGACGCACTGCCCATTATGCATTGTTCCTCCCCGAAAAAAAATGCGCGGATGAGAAATAATCCTGAAATGAGATGCCAGACAAGGAATGGATGGCATCGCGGCGCCACTCTCCTTGGGACTGGGTCATCGTTGGCACACTCCTGCGCCCTGGACAGCCTGCCCAGCTCCCATTGTCAGTGGAGGTCAGTCTAAGGACGATAAGAAGCAGATGGAAACGCTGGCACCTGGCCTTTCCTTGTGCACCCCCGCTGCCTATGAATGGCTGTCTTGCTGTGAGCTCCACTTTAGAATTAGTTCCACAGCACTCCCTCGTGGAAGCACAAGCTTAGCTCCAATCACTCTCATGTAGAGCAGCTTGCCCTTCCATCCCCTTTGTTCGGGGGCCCAATTTGTCTCCATAAACAAGCACTGTCCTTTTGTGGGTACAGTATTTACAATGAGCTCTATCGGTTGTAAGTGTGCAAGACTTTAAAGAAGTGAACTGAAGATTTATCTAAGCGATCGAATGCCCGGGTTTCCATCCACACCTAACTTCTCGCAAATTGCTTGGCTCTTAGTTGTTTTTCCTGTCCACGTTCCCCTCAGCCTGTCCAGCAGTCTGATTTTTCTTTAATGTGCCTAATGCTGGCCAATTTGTCTGAAGGACCACCGCTCTGTCAGGCTTTATGCCAGTCCATTTATCCAACTATCTTTTCCTAATCCTATAAACTGTGAAGCATGTCATAAGGGGAGCCAGGCAGCTAACCCCCAGGTGGCCTGGCCATAATGAAAAAACCCCAGAGGGGGGTCTGGCCAACGGCTCACAGGCAGGTGGCATTGGAACAGTCATTACTTCACAACAGTAGCCAGAATTAGTTGGGTTCTAATGCCCGTTTCTGCAGGGGACAAAGCAGGGTGAACACATACTGTGGGTAACACTACAGGATCGATTTCTTAGTGGGTTTTTCCAACTCTCACGCTGGCTTTCTCCTTTCTTATTTGGCTGATGGAGGCAAAGTTACTTGTCAGTTAGATTTCCAAACTATACTTTTAACCCCCTTCCAATCTTGAATTGCAGACATAATTGATGAGAGGCAAAAGGATAATGATTTAGATTTCCTATTTTTCTAAATTGCTCCCTGGCTCAAATCCCTTGTCAAGATGGGCCAGCGGAGTGGCTGTGTTAAAACCAATGGAGAAGCTGCACACAGCATAATTACAATTGAATCTAGATTCACCACACAACAGGTTCTCTGGTCAATACCGTAGCTTTTTGTCCTCTACACCGTATTATGTCCTCATTGCCCCCCGAGAGCCCTGTGTAATAATTTTAGAGCTGTGAGTTTTGCGTTAGAGAGCAGGCAGCTGCTCTCTGGAAGAGGGCCGGTTTTCATGTTGACATATTGAAAAATGTTTGGTTTATTGGTTGAACAATCTGCACCATTTTTTCTGTATAATGGATGGGGAGTAACTGCACAGCTTTTATGATGTAAGCATTTCATGGCTGGAAGATGTAAATAAATGCTGACATTAAAATCCCATACATCCAGGGACAGAAATATACACAGGACCTTGAAACCTCCTCTTAAACTAGAGGGCTGTTATTTCTGGCTTATTTTTGCAATTATGTTTCTACTTTTGCAGCACTTTTTCTGTTTTGCATTAGTTTGCACACTGTTATCCTACAGGAAGGAGGGATTCCTGTACTTTTTCAATCCAGATTTCCAATGCTGTAATGTGTATCATGTAGTCTGTATCCGTTGTTCGCTTATTAGACAATGCGTGTGTCCCCTCCCTCTCAGCTTATGTAAATTGCCTGTAATGTCTTTTGAATGTCCCTTCTCTATGTCATTGTTTAAGTGCCCTTCCTATAACATAACACTCATTTGTCTCATTTTCCCAGGTGGTCGTTCACACTAAGGAAGGTGAGCGGCTGTACAGGATCTCCCCGTGGGCAAAATACGTGACCAAGGATGATAAATCTGTCATCTACGACTGGGTGCACTGGGATCCCCCTCAGCCTTACATTGTAAGTTAGTATTTGAATGTTGGAATGGAAAAAAAAAGCATTTATTTTCTTGTTTTATATACTATTTTTTTAGAGATCTATTTGTCTATTTTTTTCATTTTAAAACTGGTAAATAAGTCAGTGCAAAAATCTGGTTAAAATTTGATTTAGAAAAACACTAGTGCAGCTCAATGATTCATAGAGAGATTGGGTTATTTTTTGCCACTGGAAGCATTTTCTGAGCTGTCAGGATTGCAAGAGAACCTTTTTTTTAATGTGAGCGGCGATGATCGGTGTCTTGTTACAACAGCGAACAACAGATTTTGGGTGCCAGGAAAAGTCAAATTGTACTGAAAAATCAGTTTAAAATGAGCAAATTTTTCTTGTGAAAACAATTTGGTTTGATTGTAAAATTCTCATCACAACTTTCATGATTTTATTTGAAAGAAAAAAAAAAAGTTAAGTCTCTAAACTACTGTATATTAACTTTGCTCTGTCTCAGCTTTTAAAATAGCCTCCAATGTACTGGCCCTTCCATCACTTCTTTGATTTGATTTGTTGTGAGGACGCAGTTACCTTTGAAATCAGTCTTAGCTGCTGTGGCCACTGTTGATGTGGGAGCTGCTTGATGCTGCTGATTTGAGAGGCTCTGAATGTATCTCAGTGCTATTTGATGTCCTCGGCACAAGTGTGCACAAGCAAAAGAACAAGAGGCTATTAAAGACCACCTTGCTTTCTTTATCGCTTGTTATTTGCCACCGTTTTAATTAGAGAAGCTCTCTCACTAGCCGTATATTTGCTTTATTTACAAGTGGCAATCATGTACTTCAGACAGCGGGCTCACAAGGCCTGGTGGGTAGCCGTCAGGAAATTTGTTCGATGTATAAAACAAATCCCTCTCCCGTTGTGTAACTCGGACATAGTGAATCATAGATCTTTTAATATTTAACGTGCAGAACTATTATCAGCCTCTGTGGCAAGATATTGGTGCAGAGATTCAAAAAACCCACACTTTGTCTTTGACCTTATGGTTCATAATTACTCACCAAATGGACTGTATTTTTAGCAGTTTTAGGAAAAAGTGCTGGACTGTCATGATTTTCAGTCTAATGTTGGTTTCTTTTCCAGCAAATTCACCCTCGGCCAAAGAAGCCCTTGAGCCTGAGAACATACGAGGCGCACGTGGGCATCGCTTCACCAGATGCGACGATCGCCTCGTACACCAACTTCACAAAAAACGTGTTGCCTCGGATAAAAGATCTGGGTAAGACATGAGACCGCAGTACCTCTATGGCATTATTTTCTTTCCTTTTGGCCTCCCGTTTTTGTTTTGCTGGCTACTCACGTCTGTATAAAAAAGTGCACAGCAGTCGTCCTGCTGTGATCCTCCTCATCTAAATGTCAGTCAGAGCTTTTCCTGACTCAACCTGAGAACATTTTGTATCTTCTCCAGCCTCGAACAGAGAGGAAGGGAAGCATTAAGGTGATGTTTGTATATACCTCCCTACGCATCAAATCTGATTCAGCTATGTGGTGTTTGGAAAAACAATAGTTAAGGGGTTCGAGAGCTGTTTTTTTTTTTTTTTTTTCTTTTCTTTTTTTAAATAACTGCCAGTGTCCTGTGCCATCTCTGTCAACACTGCTCCATAACCCAGCACACATGCCAGGCTGTTCTGAGTGCCACTGTTCCTCCACCAGCAGCATTTTCAGTGGCAGACCTGTCACACTCCCTCTGCACAAAACCACATCAGCAAGTCAACATCCTGTTTACTGGCATGACCTGAAGGAATCACTGACCATTGGACAGCACAGCACAAGTCACACCACACAGCAGTTATGGCCCCAAAACTGACAACTTGTTTCCATTTCCATGATCTGAACTCAGACAGCCAATAGCGGAGAAAAGGCATCTTCCTGCATCTTGTATCATTCAGGAAAACAAATTATACAGACTTGTACTTAGGGTGAGATGAGATGAGCTGAATTTTATATCATGATAAATTGTCAGATTTAGTTTTATAACAATAAATAAAACAAAGTATTTCTCTAAATACGTAATGATATGTTTTTCTTTTCCGCCTGACTCACTTCTGATTTGAGTTTTTGGACGTCTGGACTTGACAGTGGGCTGACTGACTGGTTGAACCTCTGCTTATGTGTCACCGGCTGTTGCAGCTATTCTCGGTTTAATTATACAAGATTCAGACAATTTATTTGTTGAATATCGTGATGTGATTCAACGTTGTCTGTAATGTCTGTATAAACAGAACTGTTCTTTTTCCCATCAACTCTATCAGATAAAAAAACAACTATTCATCAGGCAACTGTGACTGTTGTGACTCCTTCATATGTTAGTCAATAGTTATCTAGTATTCGTGAAATTAATACAACACCATGTGGTAAGAGAGTTGAAACGATTAAAAATCAAAATTAAGTGTGAATTTGAATTTTGGTAAGATTTTGACTTTATTTTTATTTTTTTGGCTTTTTTATAAAAGAAATTAAGAGGCAAGCCACAACTCTGCCGGAGAACCTGTTTGGACAGCAACACAAAATTTAAAACATTAACTAATTATTCGATAAATTTGAAAATTTCCAATACTGTTAAGTGTAAGTGTGACTTTTAGTTATGCCAGCAAAACATCGTTATGGATGGCGAAGTCATCTGTCGGTCCACCACAAATTGCATTTCTTTCAATTTGCCTTAATTTTTCTTTCTTTCTTTTATGTGTTGTCTGTTTCCAGTTGATCTCTGGACCAGAACTGTGCCTTACCATGGTGAATTGAAGTTAATCAAACACAGCGTAATGTGAAATTCTCATTCAAAACAACACAGACTGAATTTTGGAAACATTTTATTGTAACATTTTTGTGATCTTGTCTCGCTATTGACGAAATTTTCTTACTCATTAACTGCGGCATGCGATTAATATTTATATAATAACTGAAATCATTATAAAAAATAAATTCAAATATGACTTTAACCTAATGGAGCAGATCCATGTCTTTGATTGCGATTCTGCTCGTATGAGATGTGGCATCATTTTGCATTTGAATACAGGCTGCTGCAGTGACATTATTAATAGGCACAGATATGACTGGCACAGCAAACCAGGAGCAATCTGATAAATGCTGTTTCCTTGGTCGTGTCATCCTGTTTAGTGGGAAAGGAAACTGCCAGAGTAAATGCTGTCAAAGAATCTACCTGCAGCAGCCGAGGGAATCTGCACAATAGGATTCTCCAGGAGGCTAAACTCCACCGTCTCTAGTGACGGCTGACTTTGCCTGCCATTTCATTTTCTTGACTGTGGAGAGAGTGTGTGTATATATATATATATATAAATATATATATATATTAATATAAAAAAAGAGAAACTTCCTCTCACCCCGGTGCTTTGTCACTCTCCTTCAGAAGCCAAAGCTTTTTTTCTCTCTCAAGCCTGAAAAGAAACTGTGATATAAATAAATAAATCTGCTCCACACAACAGTGAAAAACCACAGGGTCTCCCTCTGGAGTGCTCAGTGGCAGTTTAAAAGCCTGTTGTTCTCTTATTCATAGAAGCAGTTTTCTTAGGTCGTTTTGAAATGTTGTACATGACCTCCTGACTCTGATAGCTGGTGTTTCCCTGTAGCCACAGCTTGTCTTTAGGATACCAGAACTTGTTTCAAAAAGGAAATGCCTGGAGCTCATATATACTGTATGACTGTCACGGGTCAAATAGTATCAAGTTGTAATATTTCCATTTTCTTTTTCAAATGAATGTAAATTTTGTGAACACTATATCGGTGCAGAATTTTAAATTAACGTTGTCTGTCTTAGTAAAAGTATATAGTTAAGTCTTCAAAAACATCTCCATGTTTTAGCCCATGTGGCTAACCAACCCCACACATAAGAATTATTAATAAGAATAATTTGCATTTTTAACAGTTGTTTGGTGTGTGATCTAAGCAGCGGGTGTTATTTTAAGAGAAATTGGGCGATGGCAAGAATAATACCCCCTCCAGTTATTGCAGGAAATGAGTCTATCCAAATAGAAAGGATGTAATGCTCATAATGACAAAGAGGCACCAGGATGTCAAGCTATATTGTATCATTCTGCCATACAGAATATATAACACACACACATATTTTCTGATCATACATAATTTAGTGGTTTACCCACTGTGAATGTCTGAAGTATTTACAATCTGTAACACAGAGTTAGGCATATAATCTGGTAGGGAAGCTTTGAGCACATGAAATCAATAGGAACCTTTTTGAATAGTAACATTTTTTTTCTTTTTTCTATCCCTCTCCTTTTTGTATTTAGGTTACAACTGTATTCAGCTGATGGCTATCATGGAGCACGCCTACTATGCAAGCTTTGGGTATCAGATCACGAGCTACTTTGCTGCTTCCAGGTAAACGTTTGTCAGCTTCGAAGCATGAATTATATATGTTGTACAGGCTTTCATGGAATAGTTGCCATGATATAAAGCTGCATTAAGCAAATAAAGTCATGTTATATGTAGACCCTTTTGTTATTATACTATTTATTTTCAGCATTGTTTCAGCAATAGCAGCTAAATGTACATCAGATGTATTTAATTTCATTCAAGATATTGACAAGAAGCATGAATTCAGTATTACCATGACGACACCATTGCCCGTCCTCAAGAGCAACAAAAACGATGAACCCTCTCAGCCCACGATTTGTTTGGCTGCACTGGAAACAGATGCACCAGTTGCAGTTTCTTCAGTTGCATTTCTGACAGTGGTTAGGTTAGGGTTAGGGTTAGTGGTCACTCGCGGCAGGGTTAGTGTTAGTAAGTGTGATTTCAAAGTGAATTCTGGGACCTTCATCATTGTTGTTACCACCAATAGCCACAGGTATTGCCAAATTGACCAGGCCTGCCATCTTAGTATAACTTGCGGATATATTTTCTTATTTGCAGAATCTGTCGTTAATACAACTGCAAACAGTTTATTTGGAGGGTCTTGAAAACAAACAGCGTCAGTAACTTCCTGCTCAACTCATCTCAAATCAAGGTTAGGAAGTCTGACACCCACAGAAAACCCCTCTGTAAATACATTTGCCTTTGTTCCAGACAGTGGAGGGAGTTGTAGATAAAAGTGGACTAGTATGGACGAGTATTTATCTTCTCTCAGAGATCCCTCCTTCTTTTCTTCGAGTAGAGCATAAACCCAAAGTGTAATGTATATGGTGTAATTTCACCCATGATTGATCTCTCAGTGTCATTTAAAACCCGAGCGGTTGAGTAGCGGGAAGCCGGGTAATACTGTCGCTATGTGTCCTGTTTTGTAAGGAAGCTGATGCAATGATAACTGGAAGGACGGACAGACATTATTGGTGTGCACACAAAGATACCTGTGTGTTTGTAAATGGAGGTGTTAATGCATATATGCAGTTACTCTGTGGTTTTCTGAGTGTTTCCAGAGTGTGTTCTTCATGACCCTTTAGATGGTATTAAAAGGTTGAAGAGTTACTATATTATATAAAAGCTATCAAATGGAAAAATGCTCATAACCCTGAATGTCAGCATGGCTGTAATGGATCTTTAGATAAATGAAGGAGATTATGTTTGTGAGATAATATACAGTACTGCTCTACAGTCCTGTGGTTGTTTGAATCACAAACACATTTTAATGAAAATATAAATTCAGTATGTGCACTTGCACTTGCTCCTAAATTGTAGGCCTGCTGACACTGTGATAGTATGTTAAGGAAAAATGAACTCCAAACCGAGGGTATTTTTGTTGCTCATCAAGTTGCACAAGTCACTAACCAGGTTTATTTTTGGGGGAGGGGGCAAGTTAAGGTGTAGGACTATGGTTAATGGTCTATGGACTATGGACTATGAAATTAGACTTAGAGGTTAGGGAAATTGAAAAACATAATACACAACACATCTTTGGTCCTTGGAAACATGTACATAAGCTTGTTTTTGAACATGTGTGTGCATGATTGCTCTTTTATTTATATGGTTAGAAGCTCAGTTGAGGACAGTTGGTCCATTCGTCTTCTAAGGGTAACTTTGACATCAGGACTTGGCTTTAGGGTTAAGACCACTAGTAAGAGTAAATTTGAGAGGGTTTAGGACGGGGTGGGTTGTGGATATGGTGAACTAATACAAACTATCTGTATATCTGCAGTCGGTACGGTACCCCAGATGAGCTGAAGCAGCTGATCGATGTGGCTCATTCGATGGGCATCATCGTGCTGCTGGACGTCGTTCACAGCCATGCGTCCAAGAACACAGAGGACGGTCTGAACCGGTTTGATGGCTCTGACTCCTGTTTCTTCCACTCTCCACCCAGAGGGGAGCACAAGCTCTGGGACAGCCGCCTCTTCAACTACTCCAGGTACTTCCTGTTTGGCGCCAGTGTTAACTTCTGTACTTCATATTTGTGTGAATTAACCACGCTGCGGTACATGAATTGATGTGGTTTGCATGTATAGAAGTACAGTTGATAAAAGTAAACTCAAAAGCCATTAAGGAAGAAAATGTATTAGTAACCTAAATGATCTTTAATTCTTCACAGGAGTTTGAGAAAGTCTTTTAATGTATTTGTTTTGTGTATTTATAAGTTTGAATGAGAAATTTCTTCATCCCGCCACCTACAGTACCTCACCTCAAGATTTTTAAACAACACAAGCTGTTTCTTTTTAGCATAATTATGTGTTTAGTTTGTTTGGCACAAAAATATGTAGTGCACTGATGCACAACTTATTTTTAAGATGTGCATTGGTGCATATGGTTAAAGCACGATGTTTAGGTCAATTTGATGCATTAGTATTGCACACCGCATTTTACATTTTCAGTTCCATCAAGGTGGAGAAAAAAATGTTCTCAGGGAACACTAACAGGTGATTGTGAAGTCTTTTATGGAAGCTGTAAGAGCCTTTTAGAGCATTTTCAACACAGAGGCTGCACTATGTAATTAAATCAGAATGCAATTACTTACTGATGTACAGTAGTTGTGAAAACGTGCTCCTCTACATTTTACATTTTAACCAGCACTGTAGGACTCCTTTACTTTTGCCTGACTTTGTGCTGCTATAATTTTGAGGCAATTAAATCTGACATTCCATTTCTTCTGAGCCTTTTAGCAACATCCACGATACGAAAAGCAAGGAACCGCCCACTGATTACTGCAATTTGAACTCAACTTGACGTTATGCTCCACAGGTGGGGATTAAAAGCTGCATTTGAATGGTTACATATGATACTAAACTCGTGAAAGAGATTTAAAACCAGCCATGGCTCCATCAGATATATGAATGTTTGTGCTCTTTGTAAACAAGGCTAATAAATGAGCGCTGCGGTTTTAGGGTTTCAGAATTTAAAACAAAAATTGTATAAGCAACATATGAAGAGACTGATAAATGAGGCCAAATGGTAGCTGACATACCACTCTTTATATTTTATGAGACTGTCTGATACAGCGTGACGTGCTGAAGGTCAAAAGCAAGACGTCATGGCAAAAATGACAGATTACATCTCTCACCTTCTGTTAATCTGATATTCCTAAAGCGTTGAAAGGGCTATTAATGGTGAATTTAAATTTCCTCAAATGCTCTTGATTTTATTTCTTTTTTTACCTTTTACACATTAGTACAGACAGGTGTTGAATTTTAATGCATCGTGAGTGATGATTTGATGTTTCAGTGTTGCTAGGCTTTGGTTATATTCACATTATCAGCTAATTACAAAAGTGCCAGGACAAACGTGAAGGCTCTGAAGTCGACGGGCTGTTCTCTGACTCCGCTCGTGCTCAGTGGACACCAAAACTATTGATTGGTGTTGTTGTAAACCCTGTTAATTAAGTGTCTCTCTTCTTTCCTCTGTACCCACAAAATGATCCCAGCGCAACATTAAGGAGTCTATCAAATGCCTTTTTTTTTTTTTTTACTCGTTTTTTAATAAGTGTGTGTTGGTGTGCAGCAGTTTCCAATACATTACACAATGCTTAGTGTCAGGCATGGGGGCTATAATAAGAGAACAAGGTTCTTCTTTCATTAGTTATTGAACTCTCCTCATATCAGAAGCACTCATTAGACACGGTGCAGACATATGCCACGACTGGGAGGCATATGAGGAGTCATTTGTAAAAGCCCAGAGGAGCACTGCAATGTCATAGTCAGTTCATTTGTCTTCTCTGCCTCTCACAGGTTGTTTGGACGTATCGTTGGTGTCAAGCTTTTCTGCTACTCCCTTTAGAAGGAAATGAACCTCAGAGGCTAGCCGTGAACCTCATGTGAAACACAGCCTGTTTTTAATCAAGCAGCCCTGCTATCAGCCATCACAGTCTGACCATGATGTTCTTATTAGGTTGACAGAAGCTGACTGATACAGGCTATCGGAGCAAAGATATATTTTCCCCGTTGCTGCCTCCTCTGCTCCGCTTCCATTTCTGCATCTTTATCACAGAGCACCTTTTTGTTTTTTTGTTTTTTTTTTTTTTTTTAGTCAGTATGTGTTTCTCTTCAACTTTTCCTCATAAAACATTCACCATTCACTTCAGTCTGGAGAGAATGCTGTTTAGATAGATGCCTGCTATCCTATTTGTTAACTTGGGTTGCCTTGGAGTCAAATGCGTCTGCATTCAGTATTAAAAATGTCTGACTTTGCAAACATTGGTTCCAGGCTGCAGAAAGGCGAGAAGTAGTTTTATAGTTGCTGAATACCAACTTTATCGTAGAAGTACTAAGCTGCATTGAAACTGTGCAGGTACGTACACTGCAGACACTTGCCCTGGCTCACAATATATTTGGTCTATGTCAAGAAGTTCTTGGATGTACAGTTTATGTATGCACAGGCTGATATCCACTTATACACCAGACACTCAGCTGCTCTTCATAAGCAGAACTATCTGCGTTATTTGTTGGTCACTGTTACCTTCATAAGCCTTTTCAAATACGTCAAAGTCACCTTGAGACAGTGACCGAGGGAACAGAGCCCATGGCTCGGCGTGTAGGGGGTTGGCAGCCACAGAAGCCAAGCCTTTTTGCAGATCAGGGCCTTCAGATGTGAGAGTTCTGAGAAGCTTGATGTGGGCTCATTCTGTAATCCCCCCCACTTCTCACAGGATCATTTGCATCCATTTTTCATCAATCTTTGTGTGAATTCTTAAGATATGAAAAATAGGCTCACGGCCAGGCTTCTGAAAACTCTTTTTAACTCCTGTCCATGTCCTCATGCTGAGAGATCGGCCCAGTGTTTGAGGACCAAGGAGCAATAATTCTCTCTTTGACAAGATCATTCTATATGTGTGTTTTTTTTACGTTCAAATATTTGTTAATCATGTGTGAATGGGGCAATATAAATAGTGATCTTACACATATTCAGTAAAGGAGATTAGCACTGCTTGGATTGTAAGTATATTCCTTAGTATGAGAGCTCAAATAAAGTAGAATCAAATCATTTAGGTTCTCTGATATATAATACAGCGATAAAACCAGTGATGAGTGTATCTTTTCATCTACTATAATAAAGGTTTCCTTATTATAAGCTACTGGCATATATAATATTTGAGTATTTCTACCATCATACACTCATATGCAGTTTTTAAAGAGCCATGTAAAAAACTATTGGACATATATCATCATGTTAACATTTTGACAGTGTGAGGTCTGTTTGCACCTTCATCATTTATTCTTTTACTGTGTGTTTTCAGCCTTCAGCATGCCAGCTAAATGTCCTTTAAATTGATTGTGAAATTGTAACATAGCACAGAATATCTTGAAGGGCACTCAGAGAGCACAGACCTCCACCAAGGCCAATTGCAGACAACACAAACCAGACTTAAGAGAAAAAAAAAAAAAATTCAAATTCCTAGTAAATGATCTGTATCTGCCCCAAAATTCAATGCGTCCTTCAATGCATCATGCTTCATCCCTCCACCAAGTTTGGTGCAAATCGGTTCAGCACTTTTTGCGTAATCCTGCTGACAAATAAAAAGACACGGGTGAAAACACAACCTCCTTGCTGGAGGTAATAATACACAAGGGAACACATGTAGGGAAACAAAGAATCATCCTGCTGATAAATGACAGGCTTGTATTTTAAGGAAACACAGTAGAAAACATAACAAAAGAAACAAAAAAAAAAAATCTGTCTCTCTCTCCCTTCGGAGCATTCATGTTTTCAGCATACAGGGACTTTGGACAGTAGTTGGGGCCTGGCTACTGTCTGATCAATCAATAACCTCAAAACTTGAAATGTCAACTCAGTCCAAATTCAGTCATTTCACTATTTAGCACCCATGAGATCTTTCCCCTGCCCCATCAGGTCACACAGCAAGTGGAAAAGCAGTTTTTTCCCCTCTGGTGAGCTTCAGCTAATGAGCTGAGCTTAGCTGTAGGTGTGCATGCCGGCTGGTTGCAGCTGCCTGCAGTGCTTCCACGAGGTGCTGGATGGAGCCAGTGGGTAGGAACCTAGCAGCTCTGTACCCCCATGCCCATCAGTTCCTTAAAACTATCTGACAAATAGGAAAAAAAAAAGTTCCATGGCAGTGATATGTGCAAAGAGATTTCTATTTGTTGCCAGGCGATTTTGTTTATGTGATCCAAATGAATAATTTAGCTCTTAAGTGCTCAAGAGATTGTAGATTGTCGATTACAGAGAAGAGACATTTCATAAGTGTAAACATCATGCAAATTGAATTATGAGCCAATAAACTTATATAAGGCAGTCCTTTTTTTCAGTGGTAAGAGATGACAGCAAAGAGCTGCCACTGAGTGTTGCTCTTTCAGACGATACTGAGACACACTACTCACCCGCTCAGTACAAGATGGCAAAGTTTTGCAATATTTTGCTAATGAATGTTTCATTTCCATCTACACCGATGTAGCAGACAGTGCAACTGGTCTGAAATATCGTGGTAAAAAAAAAAACTAACAAAGTGGTATCTGCTGTGACTCGTCCCTCTTCTTCTGCTCACCCAACCCCAGGGACTGTTATTCCCTCAGTAAAGCCTGTAAGGGAGCACCCTCCCTCAAGGCTGCCTGCCAAGTTCTTGCCCACCTGTTTTTGTAATTAACCAAGCCAGAGAGGTTAGCACATTGCAACACATGATGGTGATGTTAGCCAGCTAACTAGCTAACTGTAAAACTATGATTTTGGAGGCATGCCTATAATTTAACCTTATCTTTGCTTTGCCAGAATCGTCATATCATTTAAATAATGTCAGTGATTATACATGAGCACATACACCTCCAGAGATATACTGCCACTACCAAAATATGGCCCATTGGAGGAAACTCCTACAGGGCAGAATTGGCCTGCCAGACTGCAATTGATTCCTGAAAGGCTGCAAGAACAAGGTGATACTAATTACAGGTTGCTAAACATACAAACAGT